TCATTGCTCAAGAAAAATTGGCAGAATGTCCGGGCTTTGTACATTAAAAGCACCATGGGCAAGCCCCAGCGCCTATACTAAGGCACAGCTTAATAAACCAGCTGCCACCATTATCTGTCTCCTGTGGCTATGGGGAGGGAGGTGCTTTGGAAGCTGACCTTGTGCGCTACAGCACTGCTCTGATGGCCCAGTGAAGGTTTGTTAGTCCTTCACTACAAACAAGGCAGGGCATTCTTCTTCAATGCCTTGCAGTCTTGGATAAGTATCTCTTGGATACTTAAAATGTTACATTAGGGCTGCTAAATCAGGACTGAAGCTTTTAGAAAAACAGTGGAGCAGATCAGGGCCCCAACCTGTACTGCTGCGGCTGGTTACCAGTGCAAGGGCAGGGGTGGAACCTTCACATCAGCAGCATGTTTAACCTATGTCCTGAAGTTGCTTCTCTTTATTTTGTTTGGAGAGTTTTTTTTTTAACCCGTCTAAATTATTTGGGGTCTTGGTCTGTATGGATCCCAAGGAACCCAAGATTAGTCTGGTCCATCTAATACTTGACCCCAAGTTGAGTACCACTAAATTTGGGGTAGGGTTTACTAGGTGAGATGCTTAGGAAAAAAATTAGAAGACCTGGTAACACTGATCCATGGATCCTGTTTTCTAGGGGAATTTAGGGTGGAATCCAACTGGAAACTTAGGCCTTCTCCCTTCCTGGGGAACTTCTGTTGGGAGTTCATCCACCTCAGTACTGGAAAGGTAGCTTCTGGTGTGGGAAGTAACTGTGGTCCAACCTTTGACTTTGCTCCATTTAATTTTGGTAAAGGTTTTGACATAACACTGTAAAATGATTATGAATCAATAAAAAATGTAAAAAAAAATTTTGGTAAAGGAACCAAAGCTGAAAGGCTAATCCAAAGCATAAGCAAAAATGCACAAAACTAGCTTTATCTGTGTTTGAAAGATGAATGCAAAGTATTCACAAAAAGGATTTGTCATTTTAGCTTTTAAGTTAATTGCAGGTAAAGTAACCATAATCCTTGTGATGAGCAGCAAATTTTGGTTCTCAAAGTGACAGGTCTAGCTTGCGCCTTCCCCTGGTACTTGAACAGTGTTCCCAGTAGATAAGGAGAGGAAAAAGCTGGCTGTAAAACTAGGACCCAATTATATTGAAAGGAAAAACTTTTATGTGTAGCGATTGGAAGCTTACATACCAAAATGTTGGTTTATATTCAAAGCTAGGAGTTAAATGAAGGGAGTTGTAGAAGTTGTAAGGTGTTTAAAAAGGCAACACTTGAGGGAAGGTATAGCTCAAGTGGTAGAGCACATGGGTTAACATGCATGAGATCCTGGGTTCAATCCTCAGTACCTCCCACAAAACAAAAAGGCAACACTTAATAAAGCAAGAAAATATGAGTGCACTTTATGCCCCCTCTCTTGCAAAGCTGAGTACAGCGGGAGAGAGCAGGTCCCTCGTGCTTGCTAAGGTGGGCCCTGGCAGCCAAGATCTTAAGAGGTGATGATCACAGGGTCTGAGATAAACCACTTACAGGAGCCAGAAGGGCCTGTGCCAGCCGCCATGCTGTTACAAGTAATGTGGCAGAGCAAGGGTGTCACAGGATTCTGACCAGGCATATACTGTGTGTACAAGGCCAGCTGTGTACTGCCTGTGGGCTGAGGCCTCCCCACTGCCTGAGTCCCAGCTCTTCCACTTAGCAGCCACAGGAGCCTGTTCAGCCACCCTATTAACTTCTAGAAAACTCTCCTGAAAGTGTAGCTGATACCTACCTAAACCCATGACATGCTTTGCATGGTGCCAGGCACTTAGTACTCAAAAACACAAGCTGTAAAACAGTAAATAGGTACAGCTACGTACGGATGTGTACCGGCCCTGGTACGTGAGTACCTTGCCTGGCTCATTGGCGGTTAGGACGGATGGAATGGAGGCCGTCCTGAGGACGTATCAATGGGGAGACAAAGGTGCCTTCAAAATCAGTCACATCTTCCTGTTTGAAAACTGCCAAGGATTGAAATCCTTAAAAATAGTTTGGAAATTCTGTGGATAATTTAAAAAAAAAAAACTTGGTAACTTGGGTCTTCCTGGATTATTGATTTGAGTCACCTGAATTTAAATCAAACCCACTCCACTTTATATTAAGCCTTATTATGTATTGGGGTAGAAGTCCTTCAACACCAACTCTACGCTTAACGAACACTGATGCACCTCTTTCTGCTGGTCTGTGCACCACTGCCCTCCAGGGGCGCAGAGCACCACAAAAAAGGAAGGAGTAGGAGACAGAATAGGAAAGTAAAGCAAATGGAGAACACGTGTGGTGACAGACTGGATTATAAGGTTGAACTATTGTAATCAAACCCCAGCCTCTAGGATGATTAAAGCTTTGTGTGCACCTGAGTTAGAATAAAAGTTTCAGGTATCGGGGGAGCCCCAGTTCTCCAGCATTTGTGCTACAGGGAAATAAAGAGCCCCCATGAGTCCCCTGCACAGTGCTCGGACCTTGATTGTGGAATTTACAAAATGATGGCATTCCTCTCTCCCCTAGGGATGTTGGAAGGGAGAAACAGAGGAGCAGGACAAACAGGACTACTGGCCTCTTCTTTGGGCCCTTGCTTTCTTGGCCATTCCCTACAGCTTCCCGCAGAATCTTGAGCAGGGAGAGCCACTTCCAGGAGAGTCCTGGGCTTTAGGCTCTCGAGACCCACCTTTTTATTCTGGTTTTTCCCTCTTTGAGGGACCTCAAAACCATGTAGTTATCACCCACCCTTGACCTGTAAACAGTTGTGTGTTGGGGGGTGGTAAGCAACAAGGCCAGTCACAGTTCACTTCTCAAGTTTTCTGCATGAGAGACCTACACTATTCTAAGAGAAATTACCTGAAGGCTGTTTACTCCAGGAGAGTGAAGGCAACAACCCACGTGATGATTCCAGCACCCAACAGATGTAGTCATCTATTAGATTGGATTTTGCATCCAGCCCTAAGCGTAGCACATTGTAGATCCTTCATAAACCAATTTCTGCCTCCAGGATCTCCTCCCACCTGGCTGGGGCTCCAGGCACCCTCCCCATCCTGTAAGTGACAGTCTAGGGTCCCTCCAATGCAGTGGACCAAGAAAAAAGGCCATCTGATTAACAGTATACCAGGTGCATGTGCCTGGAGTCAGGCAGCCCAGGTTCAAATATTAGTGTTGCCACTGACAGCTGAGTGAGGAGAGCATTTAACTTCAATCTGTTTCTCCATCTGCAAATTGGAGGTTGGATGAGAATGCTCTAGAAGATGCTAGATTCTAGAGTAGGGTTGCCAGATTTAGCAAATGAAAATACACAATGCCAGGGGGAGGGTATAGCTCAACTGGTAGAGTGCATGCTTAGCATGCATGAGGTCCCGGGTTCAATTCCCAGCACTCCGTTAAGTAAATAAATAAACATAATTACCTCCCCCCTCAAAAAAACTTTAAAAGTAAAATAAAAAAATACATGATGCCCAGTTAAATTTGACTTTCTGATAATTAACACATGTCCATTGAGGATACACTCCTCCACTCCCTACTCCGAGGTCCCTGCTGTGTGAGCGCAGGATGGCTCAGGAGAGGTTTTCCCAAGCAGATAGGAGCAGGTTTGGAGTCCTGCTTCCCTAGCTAGCAGCCTTCCACCTGGGCGGGCACTCACCTCCCGGCAGCCCCTTCCCTTGCAGAAGGAAGACTGGGCGGAGAGAACCAGTAGCAGTCACTGAGAACTGTGGGGCTTTAATGAGGGTACTGAAGTCACCTGAGGCAAGTCTTAAAGCCTTCACTTAAAGAAGCAACGCAACATAAAGAGCTCAGACCAGCACTGGCCACGTTGCAGTGCTCACTCAGGGCAGGAGGGGCAGGAGAAAGTTCGAGCTGGCAAGGTTTTCACAGGACCTTTGAATCTTCATACCTATTTTGAGTGTGGGGAGCACTGGTGGACCCCAGCAGAGACGGAGTGAGGTGGGGTGACATCAGGACTTCTCAACCCAACCCCAAGTGGATACTCTCCTTCCCCCCAAAGCTGTCCCACAACTGGCACACAACTGGTCATATGACTAACCCACAAACAAATAACTTTAATTTTTTTTTTTGAGCAGGAGCCCGGCTTTGAGGGCTCCTGCCCCAGCCTCACGCCACATTTATGATATAACCCATCACAGCTGGATTTAAAAAATACACAAAATATATATAATATACATTATAAAACCTAGGTTGGGTTTGGAGGTGGCCTGAGCGGTATGCAAACTGTGAGGACCTTCAGGAAGCTCAGGGGCGGGGTGAGGAAGGGAAGGGGCACAGTACTTCATATGAAACTTATAAATACCCAGAGGCGGCTGGAGGACAAGGCTGGAGGTTGAGGGCCCTGGGGGTTGGGAATGGGCAGCAGGGTAAGGGTGAACCTTCAGTCCCAGACTGGGTCTGGGGAGCTGCTGCTCCAGCCAGAGAGACGCAGGTGGGGAAAACGAGGGCATGGTGCCCAGCGAGGGTGCACCAGTTAGGTGAAAATACCATAGCCTTCTGCTACCTTGTCCCTGGGCCACTGGTCTGCCCAGGGACTGGGACTCCATCTTCCTACCTGACCCTCTAGCCTGTTCCTGAGCCTGGGCCTGCCCGCAGGAGCCTCTCGGGGGCTGCCAGTTGCGGGGCTCGGGCCCGGATCTGGGCCAAGCAGCCTGGAGGTCGGCACAGGAGTCTCCCGAAGCGCCTGGCCAGATGGCAGGCTGGCAGGGCTCTGGGAGGAAGTGGGTCCCCGACCCAGCTGGCCCCAGCCCCTCAGTGCAGACCCTGCCTCCCACACCCTGTGGCCGCCCCCACTCGGGGGAGGTAGTGTAAACCTGGGCCCAGGGACAGGCCGCCTGGGTGAGAACTCCAGCTCTGCCCACATCACCGACGGATCCCTCAGCCCAAACACCAAGACCTGCCCTTGCCCTGCAGGGTCTGAGCGTTCTGCACCAGGCCTGGCACACGGCCAGCCCAGGGAGGTGGGCGCCTCTCTCTTCTTCTCAACCCAACCCCAAGTGGACACTCTCTTTCCAGGGGTCTCCATTCTGCCCCCACCCACCTGAGGGGCCAGTGGCCACACACGCCTGAGCCAGAAGGGGTCCTCCCACTCTTTCCAGGCTGGTGGTTCAGCATCCCGGCCAGGCTGCTCCACCGCTGAGCCCTCCTCTCTTCTCCCACAATTAAAGCGCAGAACAGTGGCAGGGAGTGTGTGTGCTGGGGGTGGGGGGAGGCCTCCTAGGTCCTGGGCCTGAGGCCTGGCAGGCGGATGAGTCCTCAATCCTGGACCCGGGGGTGCCAGGCAGGTGTGTAAATCGTGGTGGTGGGGGCAGAGAGCACCCTAGTCTTTGACGAGTTTGTAGACGTGGTGCTGGGCCCCATGTTCACTGGTGGAGACTTCAAAGACGAAAGCAATGACGAGCAGGGTCTCTTGGGAGTCCCGGCTTGTGACCACCTGGGAGCCGGGCAGGAAGACGCGAGAGGTCAGGCGGCACAGGGCCATGGGGTGTGGGGGCTGAGCAGACCTTTCTCTTTCTGGGCCTCAGTCTCATCTGAAGCATGGGTCTGGCCACCCCTACTTAGAGGCCCCTGTACCGAGGGCCCCCTGTGACCCCCCACAACCCTCACAGCCCCACACCTGCAGGATGGTGAAGTTCTCCAGGACGCTGTTCATCATGTACTTCTCGGGCAGGTGTTTCAGCTTGTGGATGAAGTTGATCATGTACTCACACATGGGCGAGCGGTGGATGCGGTACACGAAGCGCCCGTTCTCCAGCCTGGCGTACTCGGTCTGCCGAGAGCCACGGGGCATCAATTGGCCTGCCGACTCCCAGCCCCACCGGGCCACCCCGGGGCCCCCACTCACCTCCACCTTCTCCACCACCTGCTTGCCAAAGGAGCACACCTTGGTGGAGACACTGATGGTCATGCTGTCAGCCGAGCTGTACTGGGAGCTGACCCCATAGAAGGCTCCGGGGCCTTCTTGGATGGTGCTGTTGAGGTCCGCCTGGAGGAGGTGGTGGATGGTGTCAGGTGCTGGTGGAGGCTGAGGCAGGCTTCCCACCCTAATGCCACACTAGTCCCGCCCAGAGATCCATCTCCCACCTTGTGCCCTGTACAGGCCCCCCGGAGAGAGGGCAGGGTCAGGGGTTAGTGGGGTGGGCCCAGGTGTACTGCACTTCTCAGGGTTGGGGTCATTGGGAGTAGAGAGTGACCGGAGCAGCTCACCCAGAACTTGACGAGGAAGAAGGCATTGGGGGGCCCCTTCTCATAGAGCTCCTTCAGTCCCCCCTTCTTCTCTGGGAACTTGTCATAGATCTGACGCACGTCCACTGCCTCCAGGGGTGGGTCTGAGAAGGCGGGGTTGGTCTGGCCGATGTGCACAAACAGGTGTTTGCTGTACTGTGGGGAGGGCCCCGGACCGGGTCAGGAGAGCACCGAGTGTGTGGGCCTGGGCAGCTGCACCCGGACACACCTGCCCTGTGGCTTCCCAACCCATGACTCTGAGATATGGCCCCGGATCACCACCTCCAGGGTCTCTCCACGAGCGCACAGACCCTTGCCTCCACCCCCTACATTACCGTGTCAGGGTCTCGCTGCACCTCCATGAAGGCGGAGTACTCGAGGAGCCGCAGTCGGGAGGAGGCAATGGTGCGGTCCTGCCACACGGGCACAGAGGCAGCAGCTGAGGGGAGCGGTGCCAGGGGCTCATAACCTGGGAGGAGGAGATAGACCCTTGTCTGCATGGGTGTGGGCGTGGCAGCACACGTTGCTGCCCCCCTGCACAGCGCCTTTGTGTGAGTTAGAAAATGGTGCCCCTTCTGTGAAGGAATACAGGCTGGATTTTGACTCCCCTGCCAGGTGTCCTTGTACAGTGCACAACCTGCACCACTGTGTGAGGTGGCCCTAGTAGTGGATTTTTCCTCATGTCACTATTAATGTGTGTGCATACAGATAAGGAAAAGGGAAAAATTAACCATATAACTGAATCACCTTACTGTACACCTGAAACTAAGATTGTAAATCAACTTAAATAAAAAAATTTGAAAAAATGATTCAGAATCCAACACCTAGAGCAAGTAAAACTTTAAGATTTCAGTGTACTTCCTTACAAGGAATTAAATGTTACATATATATAAATACATATATCAATGTAATAATCATGGTCGTGTGTACTTGTAGCAGTCCTGGAAGCAACATTGTAAAAGGTAAGGGGGCTACTCCTGGTCTGTCTCAATCTCCTCCAGACCCCTCCCACTACACACACACACACACACACAGACACACACACACACACACAGTTGGAACCCAGCTGGTCTGAGCAGAGGCACAGGTGCCGAGGGATGGAGGGAGAAGTGGTGGCGGCTGCCTCATGTGGAGAACTTACTGCTGAGCGTCGGCGGTAGGGGTGGCTGGACAGGGTAGGCTGGCTGTGCAAAGGGCTTGACGCTGCAGACAGGAGCAGGGGCTGGTTAGAGGGTCACCCTTTTCCCACCTTCTGCCTGTCCCAGTCACATGGGTCTCCTTTGGGATCTTACTAGGGAGCCACCCGGCCTTTCTGCAAAGGCCCAGAAATGCACGTTGGCTTGCTAACTCACAGCTTTTTGTTTTCTTCCCATTTTAACTTTTATGAAGTCCTGCTGCATCTCACAATTGATGTGCACAATTAATGCAGCATTTCAAACCCCACCCTGCACAGCTGTTCATTACATGGAGGGTGTGTCTTAGGAAGAAAGTCATCTCAGAGTTGAAGGAGCTGAGTATACTTGACTACCTGACTCGTTGACTGAGAGATTGACTCAGTGATTAACTGAGTGAAAAATAATGGAAGGATGGATGACGAGTGGCTGCTGAATGAACATATGAATGAAAAGACAGATCATTAGCTGTCTTTACTGGTGCTCTCCAACCCTCTATTTTTGCATTAAGACCGTGCTCAGCTGTTGCTAGGACCCAGATGGGAGGGGAAGTCCAGCGTGGCTGCCAGGGGAAGAAGAGGGTATGGGAAGGACGTGCCACAATACTCACTCCTGAGAGGGTCCAGGCTGCTGTCCCAGGAGAGGGGGGCTGCTCCAGAACTGCAGAGATGGGATAAAGCCCAGGCCCTCAGTATCCAGGATCCCCACCCAGCCCAGCCCTGAAGGCAACCCCTCACCCCAGCACCAACTCCCAGGACCCCTGTACCCGTGAGGAAGTGGAGAAGACGGCCTGGGGCAGAGGGGAGGGTGGGCTGAACTTGTTCTGTAGGACGCTGGCAGAGACAATCTGAGCGGAAGACATAGACGCCATGCTCTGGAGGGCTTTATCCTTGGAGACCTGGTCCTGGGAGAGGGAAAGCCGCATGAGGTCTGGGCCAGGCCAGAGACAGGACAAGGGCTTGCCTCCCAGGCCATGTCTCCTAAGTGTACATCACCCATCTGACCACAGTCCAGAGTAAGAGATTTTATTTTATTCCATAACCCAGTATACTCCAAAATACTCCCCCTTATTTTGCTTATTTTGTGTGTCCGGCACTCTCATATTTTCTGTTTCATCAGTGGTTCTCAAAGTGTGGTCCATAAACCAACAGCACCAGCATCACCTAGAAGCTTGTTAGAAATCAAATTTTCAGGCCCCAGCCCAGACCCACCAAATCTGAAACTCTGAGGCTGAGAAATTGGTCTTCACAGATAGGCTCTTCGGGTGATTCTGATGCTTGCTAAAGTTTGAGAACCACTATAATCCATTTTTTTAAAAATGCTGTTTCCAAGCCTATAACACTGATTTCTCAACCCATAATTTGAAAATCCTATATTAGGTGCTCTCCCCTCCATCACTCCCCACCCTGCCGCAGAGGGGCAGTGGTACTTACCAGGTTCATGGCCTGTGGAAGAGAGGGAGGATGCATTATTAGAGACACAAATGAGGGCCTGCTCTCAGTGCCCACCTAGCTCTCAGCTCCTGGGAACCCAGGGAGATGAGAGGCAGCTGTGGCTCCTCCCCCAGCCACCCAGAGGG